CCATTTGTTAAATTGTATAGCTAAATCTGTACTTTTTATCCATGTTTCAATAGCTTTATCTTTATCTACACAATCTAAATCTAACCATACTCCTGTTGTATGTATTGGTTCATTATAAGATTTCATTGGATTTATTTCTTTTATGGATTGTTTTCTTACATTTTCAGTGTATCTTTTCTGTGTTTTTCTATATTGGTAAATACCATCCTTATCAGGTATTGGGGTACCATAAGGATAATCTTGTTCTCTATCACTATTGAATTCTACTTTTATATTCTAACTTGAAGATGGATTAGTATTCATCTTTGTATTTTTCATTTTTTCAGTTGATTCTAACTGTTTTTTAATTCTTCATATTCTTCACTTGTAGATTCTAAGAATTTTTGTTCTATTTCTTCTACATCTGTAATCATATATTGTTTTTCTTCATATTTTTTCCCTTTTTGTTTTTATCTAATAGGGCATTTCCTATTTGTAGATTATGTTCTAGATTCTCTAATCTTTTATGTATATCCCCAAAATTTTCATTTGTGGTATTCTTAGGTAAATAAGGATAACTAGGTTTTTTATGTTTTTCAACTTTTTTCAAAAATTCTTCTATTATATTTTCTTCGTCTACTATATTCATCATAATTTTTGGTTCGTAACATGGCTCTAATACCATTTGGTCGGAGTGTGCAGCGGAGGGGTTAATATTTTTGAGCCAATTAGATTCTTCATAAGTATTTAAAATGTCACAATAGAATTTATAAAATTCACTATTTTTTACCAATATTTTTTCTTAAATAATTATGTTTAATTTTTCAATTCTCCTTCTTAAATTAAGAATTAATTTATATATATCTTTTTCCATTTTGATTGCTTCATTATCTATGGAATCATTTTTATTTTTTATTTTTGGGTCTAAATATTCTATAAAAAAGTCTTTCAGATCTTCTTCTAGATAGATTAATTCGTTTTCTGTATAGATTTTTAGATCAATAAAATTTTGTATAATATTTGGATCTAGATTTATTAAAAATTTATGATCTATATTTTCTTGAGGACCTATTTGAAAGTTTTTAGACATTGTAGTGGCTTTGGTTGCAATATCTTTATTAAGGGTATTTTTGGAAAATTGATTGTTTGGAGACTAATTTTCAAATGTTTTTATTTTTTAGACTAATTTGGAAAATCCTCCTTCTATTTAGGCTATTAAACTATATTTCCCTGTCAACATCCTCTATGGATAAACATTTAAGTTGGACTTGCCCCTCGGGACATAGTCCAGTGGTGTAAAGGATTGGGGTGAGGTTACCTCACGTCTTGCTGGTAGTCGCAGTGTGGGGGTTCGACTCCTAAGACATAAAATTGGACTCATTGTAGACGCAGTGTACAAGCAGCTCTTGTTCCCTAACCCACTGAAGCATATCACGCGATTTACTTCCCTTACTAAGCTCTAGGGACAGGGCGGTATGGGCCCTCAAGGTTGTGGTTCATACGTCCAGCACATTACAGAACTCTTATAGAGTTCTCACAAAGGAGTAGAGTTGGGATTTTTTTCTTTCATTTTTTATTACATCAAGACCCGCCGGGACCGACCCATATGAGGGGTCAGTAAAACATCCGTGGAACAAAGCTCTTTCTAAATTTGAACAAAGTCTTTGACCAGTTAGTTTTAAGAATTCTCTCTCTTTACTAAACGGAAATCCAACCCAATCAAAATTCGTCCCTTTAACGTTCTTGATTCATATTACCAAATGTATACATATATTTCCTATTCCTAGTCTACTAACCACCCAGAGCCCTCTATATATACATGCACAATCTTCAGCCCTTCCATTCAAAAACTCCCAAATTCTTTTCATTCAAAATATAAGAAGATCAGACGAGTCATCTGGTGAGGCAGAGATCGTAGCCGATAATGGATCAAACGCAAAGCTGCCAACAAGAAACTCCGCAACTCTGTAGCAGATGCCAGGAATTTTATGGAAGCCCACAAAATCATGGTCTGTGTTCAAATTGCTATCAAGATTTTCTCAAAGAAAGGATAGCTAAATCTGCAGAAACAATATGCTTCAGGGAAACATCTGCTTCCTCCTCCTTCAGCCCTTCAGTTTCAACGAATTCTTTAATCGATCCATTGGTCGATGCGACGAATTCTCTTACACTTAACAACGACGCTAATCCTCTTCCAATTGTGAATAACAGATGTAAATCTTGTAACAAGAAGGTTGGATTAACGGGGTTTGATTGTAAATGTGGGGGAAGTTTTTGTGGGATGCATAGATATCCAGAGGCACATGCATGCAAGTTTGATTACAAGACTCCAGCTAGGGCTATTCTGATGAAGGAAAATCCAGTCTGTAAAGGAGATAGACTCGTGGATAGGGCTTGATTTCGAGAAGGTTCCTTGCAGACATTCTTGTTAAATTTGTTCAAACTAGAAATTAACATCGTTCCTTTTTCTTTTTCTTTTTTATTTAGTTATTCTCAGGGA